TAGAGATAAATAGGCTATAGTTCTCCTGAGCTGCTCAAAATAAATCAGGAGAGAAAGAGAAAATCTGTTTGTCTGTGGATGTCTGTTTTGAAACATAAACCCACACTCGTTAGTGTTATGAGTAGGAGAGATGCAAGCCAGCAGCCACCTACACGGTAGACTTAAGAACAGCTCCCCAAGATATCTCCCCCAGAGACTTGTGCTCTGTGCCTAAAATTCCATCAAGAGATTGTATTCTGTAGAAGATGGAGACTAAAAGGTGGTGGGGGATGTGATAGACAAGTGATTTATTAGCAGAGTAACTCCTAGATTCTGATGCAGCGTTCATCATAGAACAAAAATACAAATCTTGCACAATCATGCATGGGTGCCCAGAGCTGTATGTTGCTCGTCAATCTTATGATCCTCTTGGCGTGGGTTACCCATGGTCTTCGTGTTACTGGGCTTTGACCACTTGGAATTTGTAAACCAAATCCTAAACAAGGTTTTCCACTTATCAGTCAAAACATTCAACATTTTTCTTCCTTATTAAGAATGATATTAGAAGAATTTATGAGGGAGAAAGTAAAATGTGGTTTTCAAGTTGTCAAAAAAAAAAAAATGATGATATAACACAATCAGTTTAGCCAGGAAGACAAGGTGGCCAACATAAACTGTTACAGGAACTCCCCCAGCTGTAAACAGCTGTAGTTCCTGAAAGGGACTGCCTTTCTTTATCATCTCTTCCATCTGCTTTGTTTTTGCCTTACTTTTAACTGTACATGCATTTTAGCACACTAATAATCATGTTTGGGGGTCTATGTGAGCAATAGTGGGCATGTGTCCACGGGTTTATTTTATTCAGTCTCTTTGGTATAGAAAGCAAAAATTTTACAGTAAGATAAGAGCACTTTAGATTTAATACATTCTTTTTTTTTTTCCCAATTTATTTGCGTCAAGGGTTTCATTTGATTGCAGAGCCATGACCTCCATTCTGGTGACTTTCAGAGGAAGGATTTTGAGGCAGGAAGAGGCTGACTTCTCTGGGGGATGATGGGGAAGGAAAGAAATAGACTTTTCCACTTTTTGTTTTCACCTGCTTTGATAACTTTTTTTTACATGAAAGGAGTGACTAGTAACCATTCGCGCTTTAACTTGCAGGGGCTAAGCTGTGCCATTTGCATGATGAGCATTTATTTATATTTTCACTAACAGATGAGGAAGTAATGCTCTTCTAAAGCCACGTAGAATCACGTAGCCATGGTTTCCAACTGCAAGAGCATCGCTTAGGTGATCAGCTCTTTTGAAGTGGTTTTTTTGGTAATTAAGTGCAGTGATAGCTCTGACATGAAACTAAGCATTTGTACACATGCTTTGAATGCTTAAAATCTGTGCCAGCGAGAGGGATCTAGAAGTAGAGGGGTACTTTACAGGGCTGGGCTGCAGGATCTGTTTAAATAATAGCAATAATAACTAAGAGCTGCTAGTTATTGAGAGCTTACTACAAGCCAGCCACTTTCCTAGTGTCTTTAATACATTATCTCATTTAATCCTCGTATCAACCTTCTTGGGAGCCATTGCTATAGGATGCTTCAGAAATATTCTGGGTTTGCAGTGCTCTGAGGACAAAATATAAGCACTGGTTTTCCCAGACAAAACCAGCCCAACCCTGACCCTCTTCCCTGTAATTAGAGGCCCCTGGAGGCCAGGGCCAAGGCACATGCGGGGTGATTTAGGGTAAGGCCACATGTTCTCATTTCCTTTTACTTTTTTCTTTTTAACTTTTATTTATTTTTTACATTATAAAAGTAATGCCTGTTTGCTGTAACAAATTTAACAAAAGTATAGAGAGTTAGAAGAAAAATCTCCCTGTCTCTCCTAATTCCTTATTCCCCTCCCCCTCACGATCACTGTTAATGGTTGTGGCCATCTTCCAGTCTTTTTAATGTTTTAAAACATATATAGTTTAAAAAATAGAATGTATGGGATTCGCATAGCATGCTTCTCCTTTAATCTTTTTTATGTCAGAGTGTAGTAACAGGGGCCCAATAGTCTATTGTATAAATAAATCACAACTTATTTACAATAATTTATATCCTTTATAACATAATTTGATAATTATTTATAATTATTGGCAATAATTTTCCCCTTACTGATAGGCATTTTAGATTTTTTATTCTTACTCTAATGCAACAATGCTTTAATAAAAGTCCTTATTCATGTATTTTTACATGCTAATTGAATGTGTCTATAGAATAGATTCTCACAAGCGAGACTCTGGACCAAATAGGACACGTTTAAAATTTTGATAGTGAAATTGCCTCCTGGAAGACTATACCAACTTATACTCCTATCAAGAATAGATGGGGGCTTCCTGGTGGCTCAGTAAAGAATCTGCCTGCTAATGCAGGAGACACGGGTCCGATCCCAGATCTGGGAAGATCCCACATGCCGCAGAGCAAGGAAGCCTATGTGCCACGACTATTGAGCCTGTACTCTAGTGTCTGGGAGCTGAAACTCCTGAAGCCTGAGTGCCCTAGAACCTGTGCTCCACAGCAAGAGAAGCCACTGCAATGAAAAGCCCGTGCAAGCAACTATAGATTAGCCCCTGCTTACTGCAACTAGAGAAAAGCCCTAGCATAGCAACTTAGACTAAGCACAGCCAAAAATAGATAAAATCACAAAATATAAAAAAAAACAAAACAAGAGTAGATGGGAATGTTCATTTTCCCATAACCCCACTAACACTAGATATTGTCCCAGGCTTTTAATTTTTGTGTATCTGATTAGGAAAAATATATATTTAAAATTTTTGCATTTCTTAAATCAGTAATGTGAAGCTTGGTTTCATACACTTATTGGCTGTTTATACACCTTCCGTGAATTAGTCCCTTCTCCTGTCCCAGTTTTCTCCTCTCTGCCTTTCAGCACTTGTCTTCACTCCCAGGATCCTAGGGCCCCCTCCTTCCTCCCCGTCAATAGAAGGAAATAATGTAGAGCACAAGGGGAGGCAATCTGAATAAAGAAAGCAGGTGTTAAAGACTAAGAGTGTTCCCAGTGGGAGCGTCTGCTTTTTAACAGAGCCTGCCCAGGGAGGGCAAAGCTTACCTCCAAGGACTAGATTGCTAGTGATGACATTTCAGGGTTCAACAGGAAAAATATCTTCAAGTGGGAAGATCTTCCTGGGACCCCCAAATGATAATTGTCCACGCTTTCTCTGTCTATTACAATGAGGCTTCCTTTTGGTGGTGGTTTAAGGCTTGGGACTTAGTATCACAAAGCCCTTGATGAAGTATTAGTACTTCCACACATTAATCTAAGGAATTAACCAGACATGCAGATAAGAATGTAGGTACGTGAGATATCGTATCATTGCTTATTGGATCAGAAACGGGAAACTAAAATATCCAACAACAGAAAACAGCTTAAAAAACAACTTGATAGATCCATCTGACGAAATACTATGCAACATTTTGAAACAATGCTAGAAAATTATACTGAAGTTATTTTAATATCATATTAAATATATACATGCAAAAAACAACAGTACATATGTCAAACCCCAATAAGGAATTATATTTGGGTGATAGAAACATGAATTAGACTTTTGGGCATATTTGAGTTTTGAAAGTGAACAAATATTATTATTATGATCAGAAAAATTATCTTTAAATGCAGAGTAGAATCTTAAAAAAAAAAAAAAAGTATTGTGGGATTCCTTTTTAACCTAAAAATCATTGAGAAAGAAATGTAAATCCTGACCCTGCCAAGGTTCAGTGATTTATGCTTAAGGAACTTCACCAGCACGCTCACCCTGCTTCTGGACACTGAGTGGTATCCTTGCTTCACAGTCAGTTGACCACCCAACATCCAACACCAATACCAGAGTCCCAGTTGTAGATCTCAGGGGCTCTTTCTCCCAAAGCCCTGCTGCTGCCTCATCTCTTAGCCTCACTCTTAACTCACATTCATTCTTCCCTGTTTTCTTTCAGGCATCATCTAAGTTAAATTCCTTTACCTCACATTTTCTTTTTTTAAACTATGAATGACCCGGTTGCTGAATTTGCTTTAGGAAGCTTTATATTAAATGTACATATGCAAATAAATAAATTATGATTGATTATAGGATTCGTGATTATTTCCATAATTTATTTTAAAGCTAGGCATCAGATTTGGTCAGACTCTTCAAACTGTTTTTGATATGGTGTTTATTTGCTAAGAAAAATATTGCATCTCCCAGCCTCCCAGCCAGTGTTTCATCTGTAAAGCCCTATTGTTATTTTCCAGCAGCCTCATGGAGACTTGACATCAAGAACTATAACAGACCTTTTACCTCAGTCTAAGAGTTTATCACTTTCAGAGATGCTTACTGTACTGATGCATTTTATTCGTTCATTGAACATAATTTGTTGAGAGTCTCATATATATTGGTCACTGTGCTAAATGCTGGGGAATTATGGGTTGAAAATACATAATTTGCTGATGTGCAAAAGCTTACAGTCTGACAAGAGAAGTAAAAAAGGCCCAAAGTAGATGCCATACTGGCATTAGGTGTGCCAATAGGGACCTTCAGGTAATGCCATGAGTTTGAAGTCTCAATGACATTCTGGGCACCTTCTGACTTTTTTGACTGAAGGCCTCTTCCTCTGAGAAATCTAAGGTGGAGAACAAGTATGTAAAGAATGTCCAAGAATTTGGACAACAAAATTTTCTAGAAGTCATTTGGGATGGCTCCCTGCCTGTAGGTAAGTTTCACTTCAGCTATCCTAGAGAGCAGTCTGTTTTCTTCTTAACATTTCCTAGAGAGGCAGGTTCCAATTGGGACAGGCGCTGGGCCAAGATAAAGCTTTCTTCTAAAGCCCCTTGCAAATCCAAACACACATGGAGAGCGCCGCAGGAAGCAGAATGCCCTCCCTGCCTTCTGACCTGCCCATGCTGGTCTAGCGATGTGAGACACTGGCGCGAGATTCCCGTTTACTATTACCCGGGCCACGGCATCCAGAGGAGAGCGACTCACTTACATGGCACTTGGTGGTCGGGGTCTCCAGGACAATAGTAGTGATAATTCCACTGAGCTTGCACAGAGGGCTCGGGGGGCAGCATCTGTGCCCACGCTGGGTATCTCTGAGGTTCGCACTGATGGAACTCCCTGGATCTGAGCGGTCTGGGGAGGTCCTGGAGGTAACACACGGAGGTGAGGGGTAGGGGCCTTTCCAGTTGCCTGATGCCCAGGACGTCCTGCGGCTGTGAATCATACCCCGTGTCTATTGTAGGTGGGTCTGGGGCTGCTCGGCTCCTATGCGGCCGGGGCACCATCTCCTGGCTACCACTTTGGGGGTCTGCTGAGGCATTAGGTACACTTTGGTCGGATTTGTCAGAGTCATGGCCAGTGTCCGGGGAAGTTGCTGAGAGCCAAGATCCCAGCCATTGATTCGGCTTTTCTGTAAGGGAAAATTGATGCTCCTGGGGGAGGGCTCCAGCCACAGACTGAGTCTCGGGCTCCCCGGCTGCAGAGAAGCCTGAGGGGAAGTCTTTGCTGGGATGCAGGTGTCTCCTCCACAAGCTGTCTTCACTCTCTGCCAAGACTTTAGCGCGCAGGTGGGTGACCCTCGGGGACACAGGCTGCTGGAGATTTGATAGTTGCAGGGGTGGGTGAGCCTGAGGAAAGTCTCTGGAGGAAGACCGAGCAGTTGGGGGTGCAGACAAGTTGTTAGGTGCCGTGTTCCTTGCATCTGGAGCAGGCGGTTCTGACTCCTCCGCCAGGGAATATTGTGAGGGGGGTTTCAGCAACTGACTTGGATATGGTTCTGATTCATCCACCTCCACAGGAATGCTTCGGTTCATTCTAGTGTCTGGAACAAGAGAAAACATGCCACAGCCTCAGGAGTCAGGTCAGTTCTTGGAGTCCCCACTTCATGACCTTAAGGGACCCCATTCAAGATGTGTTTCAAATTAACAGTAGTGTGACACCAACGTGCTGGCGGAGCCCCCAGTCACGTAAAATCATTCACTTATCCTCCAGGGAAAGGCCCTAAGACTTATTAAGATAATTTTTTCTGGAAGGCTATTCAAAGAATGTGACTGGACCATTGTGTGGTAGAAGTCATACACTAGCAAGGGGAAGACAGATGAAAACCAATGGCCAGTTTCCGAGGAAAGAGAAATGATCAGAATGTGGATTGCTTCATGTGTGTTTGGAATCCATGATGAAAGAAATATCAGTAACAGATGTGGAATGACCTCTAAAATATACTGTTAAGTGATAAGAAAAAAAAAAAAGCAAGGTGCAGACCAATGTGTAAAGGGTGCTGCTATTTTGTGGGAAAAAATTAGGAGAGGGGAATGTGTGAGTATGTGTGTGTGTGCATGCACATCTGCTTGCACACATATAAAATGTATATGGAGGACACATAAGACATTAGTGCATTGGTTGCCTTTGAGAATGGGGCTAAGCTGAGGAAGAGGAGGATGAGGGAGAATTTTTACCTTCTGAGCTTTTAAACTATTGCTCCATGTGACCTATTGCCTAATTAAAAAAAAAAAGAAAAGAAAAAGAAAAAAGACTTTTAAAGCCCGAGTTTAAAAAGCACTGGAAAAAAGGTCATAGTGACATTTTCCAGTTACAGCTATAGGTTATTTGGAGGACTTAATTCCCTCTTGCATGATGCCTGCACGACCATCTGGCCTGTGATGTAGCAGCTCCATGGACAAGGCTCAATAAACTAGCCTTTAGCCCACAGCAGTCATCCCACAGTCCAGGGAATACTGTTTTACCCATAGAAATAGAACTCTCAACCAACATGACAGAATGGGAAAGAAAATTGGCCTCCCCTTATCATTACATTGGTTGAAATGATGCCCTAGAATACTTAGGCTCCAGAGGAAGGAAGGAGGCAGGTCAGGGGAAAAGATGTCTCTAGGTGAGGACAGGAAGCCAGAGCAGGGACAGTGGGAGTGAAGGAGTCACAAGAAAAGACCCCAGCGGTCTGTTCCGTGAAGGCCTCATACGTAACATGCCTCAAATGCCATACAGAGAAAAGGAGCGGTGCTGGTGGTTGGATCGTTAAATTCCTCTTTCATCTATGTAGAATTTCAACCACAAACACTTACTGAGGGTTTACTGTGCCCCAAGGCATGATGCCCATCAGTTACTGCTCTAAGACAAGCTGGAAAAATAGGAATTCCCCTTCTCTTGAGCCTAATACCCAACCCAATGGCAACATGACAGCATGCATTTTAAGCAACATACTTTTAGAAAATATTTTTATTTATTTGGCTACTAGGTCTTAGCTGCGGCATGTGGGGTCTAGTTTCCTGACCAGGACCAAGGTTTGAACCTGGGCCCCCTGCTGAACTGGGAGCCTGAAGTCTTAGCCCCTGGACCACCAGGGAAGTCACATGCATTTTAAAATGCTGCCCCGCAGAGCAGAAGTGGGATCAGTGGTTTCCCACATTTTTCTTCGTGACCTATAAAAAGAGATGTCAGTTTGCCATGTGTGTTCAGTTGTGTCTGACTCTTTTGTGACTGTATGGACTGTAGCCCATCAGACTCCTCTGTCCATGGGATTTCTCAGGCAAAAATACTGGAGTGAGTTGCCATTTCCTTCTGCAGGGGACCTTCCTGGACCAGGGATTGAACCTGACTCTCCTGCATTGCAGGCAGATCCTTTACTGCTTGACCCATCAGGAAAGCCCCAGTTTTCCTTGCACTCCCTGCCAAATGAATGTCCGCTAACACTTCTCTGACCCTCACTTGGTATCAAAGACTTACCCATCTGCTCCAAACAAGCTTTGTACCACTTTCTCACAAGAGAAAATTCCCTCAGGCTCCAAGTCCCCGCCAGCCCTCCCTCCCTCCTTGCCACAGGCTTTCTAGGTTGCTGTCTAGTCTGGGTGTGCATTCTGCCCCATAGCTCTGCAGAGACCTCATCACCTAAACTGATTAGACCCTGGAAAAACACACGCCTTTCAACTGATATCAGTTGATTAGACCTATCCCAAACACACATATTTCAACTACTGAGTTTTTAAAAATGTTCACCACTGTTTTCCTTTCTTTCTTACAGTTTTTCTACTGCTCTGAAACTGGATATGCCATACAACATGCTCTTCAGCTGGTCAGGAAGCAAAAGTATTTTCCAAAGGACTGGGCTGCATGTTACGTAATCTTCAGCAAGCATCTGTGGACCCAAAGCTGAATGACGGGGGTCGGGGAGGAGGACAAGGGGGAGGGTGGAGAAGCTGCCTGAGAACCAGCCAGCAAAAGAACTAAATGCTGTCGGCTATTTCTTGGTATGCGATTCATTTTCATTTCCCACACTTCAGGTACAATTGTTTATATTCTCCCTGGGTTTCAGATGTGAATGCCTTAGAAGTACTTCCCTAAAAATTATAAAATTAAATTTAAAAAGTTACAAATTCTCTTCCAGCTGAGGAGATTTCAAGGACTTGGAGGAAGCTAATAAAAAGGGTGACAAGTGTGGTCATCTCCGGAGTGTGGTCACTTAACTGGGATTCTGAGGTCGTGTCCTAGGGAGGATATTCTAGAATTGAAACTGGTCTGAAAAGGAACAAGTGGGTCCTTGGATGATAGTGAATAAACCTGGCATGGCAATGAACAACCTATTAGGAAAACTATGATATCAGTCACTTTTAACAAACACAGTGAACCCTGATGTTTTAAATTTGTCACTACAAATATTCAAACAGCAAATGATTACTGAACCCTGTAGTGTGTCTGACACTGTGCTGTGAACCCCCTCTTCTGAAGCATAAGCTCAATTAAAATTCTTTTATAGTTGATACCTACAAGTGACACATAACTCAAGAGGTCCAAGAGGGTATCTAATAAAAGGTAAACAAAATGATTTCTGGTGACATAAAACATTCCTACCTTCAAGTGGTTTGTAATCTAACTGAAGGAAAATGACTAGTACAGGAAATCAAACTAATACAAATCGAGGACCTTTGCACTTGCCATTTCTTCTTTTTGGAACACTCTTCCCCTACATATCTGCATGGTTTTCTTTCTTTCTTTTTTAAACCTTTACTCAGCTCTCACCTTCTCTGTGAGGGCTCCCTAGTCACCCTCTAAAATTTTTACATGCTCCTGTCACTCCATCTCCCTTTCCTGCTTTATCCTTCTCTCAGCAGTTGTCACCACTGTATATACTATAAAAGAGATGTTATCAGTTCTAATACCTAGTACAATATTCCTTGTATATTGTCTCTCCTCTCCCCCCAGGATGTAAGCTTCATGAGGGTGTGATTTTCGACTCTTCTGTTCACAGCTGTATTCCCAGCATCTAGAATTATACCTGGTACCTAGCAGGTGCTCAGTAACTATTTGTTGAATAAATGAAGGATCAGTGCCTGTTTTAGAGAGGAGACAGATCCATGTAGGATCCAGGAAGGATCCCTGACTGTAAGGAAGTCAGGTCCATGAAGGGTGACGGGGAGGATTTGGTGGGCCAAGTCCTCAGAGTTCTTGAAATTGGACCACATGGGTACCCTTCCCTCTTCCTCTCAAATAGGTATTAATCTCCACTAAGTGTCAGGCCCTGAGGCCAGGCCTGAAGAGGTCCCATCCACGACGGGGCTGACCTGAACCCTTGCTGGCAGAGTAACTGGGAGCCTACCCCACAGCATGATAGGGCATCTGCTCTCTCTGCTCAGACATGGAGTACCCGATCTCCTAAATCCTCAGCAGTGGGTGGGGCAGGCCTGCCCTCTCCACAAGGGCCTCTCTGGCCTTAGACCTCAGCCAGACCTGACAGAACAACCCCACCACCCTCCTGAGGCTGTCACAGAGAATACAACGCCACATCAGAGGGCCACGGGCAGCTCAGTGGGTTGGGTCGGAAGTGGCAGTTTTGTTTTTTGGTCTTTAATGTCAATATTGTAATAAAAAAGATACCTAGGCATTAGAAAAAATTAACTCAGTACCCCACCTCTCCTAACCATTTCCATTTCCCCTGTTTTATTCCAGACCTCTTCTATATGCTATCCAGGTGGTTGTAACCCTGGCACAGCCTGTGTTCCCATCCCCCTCAGAGGGTGGAAATTGGCTTTAAGCAAAAAAAGCCCCGTTTTCTAGCCATGATCTGGAGAAGTCTCTGACCCCGAGGGGGACAGAAGACCTCCCAGTTAGGGCCTGTTGACCCCCTTGGTGGCTGTGCCCTGGATGGTCTCAGCTCATCAGCATGACATTGAGCTCAGAAAGCCGGGAGAGGCTGAGGCTGTTGGGGGTGCAGCCAACAGACAAGTCCAGCTCATGGCTTCAGATGGATGGCGAAAGGAAGAGGCTGGCCACCCAGGGACCTCAGAAGAGTTTCTGACTCAGAAGGGCTTTCTAAGAGGCTCACAATTCAGATGCCCAAGCCCCACCCCTTGAGAGTCTAAGATAAGGCCAGGGAGCCCTTTTGTGTCTAAGTCCCACAGGTTGGAGAAGTAAAGGCAACCCACTCCAGTACTCTTGCCTGGAGAATACCATGGACCGAGGAGCCTGGCAGGCTACAGTCCATGGGGTCGCAAGAGTCGGATAGGACTGAGCAACTAAACCACCACCACCAAGTCCCACAGGTAAATAGGTCCTCTCATATCTTACCAAGGGAAGTCTCATCTGTATGATTTGGCCATGACTATCGGGACTTTTAAATCTAATGTCCTTGGACCTAGTAATTTCATTTCCAAGAATTTCCTCTATAGAGAGATGAACTTATTTTGTAAAAACAAAGAGGCCCTGAAGGTAGGCAACGCAGCAAGGTTTGTAACAGCAAAGACTGCAAACGACTCACCCACCCAAAAAACTTCTGCTTTTTTAAAACCGTTGTCCGGCCTTGCAA